GTGTCAAGTGATTGCCTCAAATGGTTTAAGTTCAGTCAGCCAACTCACGTTTGGAATGTTTATTAAACAGTATAGCATATTTAGATTTTGGCGTCTAGGCTCCGACCTCAAATACCTTAACCCCTAGCCAGAGCCTACAGGTGCATGCTGGGGTGGTGGTGGGGCTTACAGAGCAGCAGGCAGCAATACGGATGCAGGGCAACAGCGACATAGTTTAAGATTACAATAATATTATGTGTGGTATTATTTTTTTGTTCATGATAATGAAGATATGAATGTAAACTTACAGCAATCAGCAGCTGTTCAAAGTCTTTTCCTTAAAACTGCAGGTTATAAAGCATGTCTGGTTTAAGGGTAATAAATAGTATTTGTACGGACCCAAAAGTAATCTATTGTAAATAGTGTACAAAGACAATTTAAAATGATTATGTTACAGAAAGATCTATATCATTTTATAGATTTCTTTCTGTGAAGTAGCGTGGGAACATGTGAGTTGTTGTCTTCACCACTACTCTAGACAGTCAGTGGTTTGATTGAAAGACCCGTAGCAGCAGCAACTGTATTGTGTGTTTAATTAGGTTATCCTGGAGCAAAGTTTTCATGTTTTTGCACTGATTAACTACTGTAATAAACCAGATTCTTCAAAGCTCACTTTCAGTACATGGGGGGGGGGGCTTTCTCTCTTCTATATTTTCATTATTATTATAAATTAAAATGTAGTTTATATTTGGTTTTACCATGCCCTGGCAGGAAATAAATTCCAGTCTCTCATTGATCAATGTTCAGAGTTTAAGCTTTTGTGGTTCATGGTTTCTTTAATGACTTCAGTGTCTACAATATCGACAAATCTGCATTACAAGTCTTCAAAAATTAGACAGGACTAAATATTTATAGCACATTTTAATCATTATTACAAATGCATTTGGCCAGTATCAAAAGTGCTGTGTTAACATTTTGAAAACAGATAATGTCTTGTTTACTGTGTTAACATAGAATTCTACAATCCAATACAAAAATTGGAATTCTAATATATAACTTTATATATAATACATATGACATACAGTATGAACTGAAATTCAGAAACTTTGGGTAACATGATGGTAGTGTCCTGGGGCTCTTGAGTTCTGGATCTGGTAGAGAACATATATTTGTTGAGAGATGTTGGATGGATACAAGTTCTATTCATCATCTGTTATCTTCTGTATTGTTGTTTTAATACATGCAAAGTGACCATAAGCAACTTACCCATTAAGCACTCCACTCAAACTCTGAAATGCGGGTGATAAGGGTCAGGACTTTCGGGTTCACTGCATTGCTCTTCTTCTTTTCCTGGCGCTCTACTTTGGAGCCCCGGTCGGGATTGATCTTGAAGATGCACCTGTAGGTAAAGGAGTGTTACAAAATACAGACAATGTAAGATATCCACATCAACTCAGAATAACACTTATAACACTCTTATCAATCTCAAATAAAAGATACACAAGGGATGCCAGTGGAGACAGGTAAGAGCTTCAAAGAGAAGCATCTGACCTGTTGTAGAGCTACAACTGCCAAGTTAACTACATAGATAAATAAACCTATGCTAAATCTAGCAAGTTCCAGTTTTATTCCAACCAAAAATATCCCCAATCAGAAGATAATTCATGTAAATTTACCTTTGGAGAAACTCCATTGTGGCCCCGAGCTCCGTTGGGTAGTGAATGTTGAAGATGTAGTAACAGATGAACATGCCGACCAATGCATCAGTGAAGCTTGCCAAGTTTTCTATTATCACTTCCTGGTCCACTGCCACCATGAAAGCTGCTGCAGACATTGGACTCGCTCCTATTAAAAAAAATGTATATACACAGTGTATAAGGTTATAAATACAGAGTCTTACAGGCAAATCCATAAGTTTAAATGCCCATATTTGCATGTAGGGCACACATATTCCATTGCCTCTCACTTACCACAAACAACAATGCATGGTGTGGGTGGTAGGTGCTCGATCTGATCTGTGATGCAAGTTTTGTCGACCATGTGGAACATTCTTGCACGATCCTCCTTGAAGTATGAAAGCAGCATCAACACCGCTCCACAGGGTCCACCACCAGCTTGGATTTCTCTCTGTCTTGCAGCTCCTCTTGACTTCTCCAATGGAAGAGACTGAAAATAGTCAAGAACCCGGGCAAATTTGGTGGCCATGGCCTCCTCAAATCCCTCATCGATGTAGATACCAGTTAAAAGCTTGAAGTGTGCTTTCATGCCGACAAGTGAGAATAGGTAGGGCCATTCTTCCTTAAGCGCCTGTGTGTCCTTACCAGACCCTATGTCATATCTCTGAGATGTGAAGGTGTCTGAGATGAATTGTTCTATTTTTTGTGCATTCCTCTCGTTTTCCAGGAACATTTTTTGCATGTCTTTTTTCTTCTTCATCTGTGCTTCCACATTTACAGGCCCAGATTCCCACTGAATACATCCATAGGAGTCTTTGCGTTGCTTCTTGTTTTCTGGAACAGGGCTGCCGTTATCTGGAGTGCTCTTCTGCTTGCCCCGCGTCACGTTTCGCCTGCAGTTATCAACTCTGCACTGAAGTTGCTTTGTTAAAGAGTCATGGCCACTTCCAACGACTTCATCTTCTATTATGTCTTTGAAAGACTTTGGATATGCAAGGACCATCTTCCGTGCAACTTCACTTAGGTGCTTCTTTGCTGGTTTTTTGCAAATGGAAAGGATTTCACCTACAATTATGCGAATCATTTCCCTCCTTTCCCTGGCAGTTGGCCGCTCCTGATAGTCCAGTTTCTTCCTCAAAACAGCTGGCAGCATGTTCCAAGGGACTTGGAAATTGTAGTGCCAGTCATTGCCCAGTTGTCTAGTAGAATTAAAGCACTCACTATCATATAGAGAGGAGATGAGGACTCCAGGTGAGCATCGAGAAGTAGAGGGTATACTTGGACTTGTAGTGACCCAGGGTGTTTCCGAAGGAGTTTGGGATGAGCTTAGGATATCCTCCTCCATGTTTGAGTGGCTTGGAGCTGCATCGCGCTGAGCTGAGAAGAAACCTAAAAAGCACAGAGACACATTCACTTTAAAAGATCAATGTTGTCCTTTAACAGGGTTTAATGATTCCACAAAAATATATTTTTCAATGCACACAAAAATATTGTATTACTGTTGTATATACATGTCAAACAAATCCACATGTAAAATTTCTGATGCACACAAATATTTCTTGTTTTAAATAAATTCACAAATTGTTAAGTTACTTATGTGGCATTTAACGCCATAGTTAGCTATATAATGCTAATAGACAGCATAGGATCATTAGCTAGCTACCAAAATGTATTAATTATTCCCAAAAAGAGTTATGTTGAGGTTCGGGGAGCTGTTTGATCGTGATCTCGTTAATGCTGCACACACGTAAAGCTATGTGATCATATCAAATCCTAATCTTGAATCTGTGCTCATGTGATTGGCTATGAGGGAAGGAGACATCTGGTAGGTTACAGATAATTTCCTTTTGAAAAAAAAATGTATTTGTGAATCGAGCCACAGCAGGGGAGCCTCAGAACACCCACACACAATACAATGTTTACACAAGACGAGCAGTTTGTAAATGCAGGTTCAACAGTCTGTACATAAATGTAACTACATACAGATATGTTTATGATGAAAAACAAATACTTTTAAATACATATATTTGTGGATCTTTTATTGAAAATTAGATTTATTTGTGTATACATCAGAAATGTTTGTGATCCCTTTTCTAAATGTCATTTATACAAATTATGAAATACGTTTGTGAATGGTTAATATCGAGACCCATCTGATTCCATATGAGACTTTTTTCCTTTCGGTTGTTGAATACCTGTACTTTCCTTAGGCACTGTGTTATTGTATTCATTTTCAAGGGACATTACTTAATTAGACTTCTGTGAAAAGACGTTAATGTTTAAAATAGGTGGAGTTTCCCTTTAACAAATTCAACAGAATCTAATGGGTCAAAGGTATACATACAGCTCAGTTACTGTTTGGTTTCATTTACTTTTTCACCTCAATCAGCCACTTTTGGTTTCCATCAGCATGCTTTTGGCAGAGTTCTGGTTGGATCTTTGACATCTCCTCTTGACAGAATTGGAGTTGGAGAGTTTGTTTGCATCAACTCATCTTTTCAGCAGGACTGAGGTCAGGACTTTGGGAAGGTCACACCAAAAGTTTAATTTTAGCTCTATTTAGCCAAAACTAAATCTCTTGATGTGTGTTTAGGGTCATTGTGTCGTTGGAACGGACAATTTCCAAGTTCTGAAGAGTTCTGAGGTAGTCATACTTCTTCGTTAGTCTGTGCACTTTCTGCAGAGCACCAGTCCACTGGCAGCAAAACAGCCCTAAAGCGTAGTACGACCTCCGCCATGCTTGACAGTAGGAGCAGTGTTCTTATGGTTGAATGCCTCAGCTTAACATCTCCAAACCTACTTCTTGCCATTAAGTATGTTTCCAACCACCTGTTTTAGGTGTATTTGAGTGGTAACGCCAATAAATTTGAAAATACCTTGAAATATTGCAAAGTTAATGTATTGATAAAAGCAAATTGTGACTGTGCAGTAGAAACAGACTGAAGTATTAGACCCTAATGTCCCCTGAAGAGACTAAAAATGTTGGCAGACTGTGTGGACCAATGTGGAGGCTGTAACATTTCTCAAATCAGTGACAGGAGAGTTTTCTTGTTTGTGCATATTTTGTACAGTAATGTTCTTTGTTGGTTTAGAGTCATGACAATAGCTCTGCGCACAAAAGTAAGATCCTTAAAGAAATTGTTTTCGAGTTTGTTGTGGAAGAACTTGACTGGCCTTCCAACAACATTCCAACAACATTCCAACAACACCTTTGGCCTAATCACTCAACATCAGTGCAACTTCACTGAAGCTCTTGTGGGGTTGGGTCTTCGGGATAATATTTGACTGTCCACATACTTTTGGCCATACTGTGTACAGGATTCACAATCTCTCACTTGTTAGCAAAACCAACAACTGCCTCATGTAATCAAATAGTGCAATTGTGTATGTTTTCAGAATTTTAAACACACACACACTTTCAGAAGACACACATCCACTTTCTCCCCTTAGCACTGATACTCACACACACACTACATAACACACTGTCCAACACACTCTCTCCTTCACACATAAATCCCTCACACATCCTAACATGCTCCGCTAGCTTTCCATCTCCCCATCGAGCACCCCCCGCCTCTCCCTCCCTTCCCTCCCTCACTCTCTCTGTGTTTCAGGGTAATGCAAGCCAGCAGCCGTAACGCTGGGGTGAGGAGGAGGAGGAGGAGGTGTAGTAGTGGGGGTGGTGTTGATGTATGGTGGAACTAAAGCAACCCTGCCGATCGATAATGTAAACAGGAGCGAAGAGAGGCGGTAAATAAGGCCGACTCCTGACAGAACTGTCTACCTCAGGTGACGGAGACAGAGGGAAAGAGAGAGGGAGAGCGAGGAGAAGTAGGGGAGAGGGGGTGAGAGGCATATCTAATAGAGAAGAGGAGGGGTAAAGAGCATAATGGAGGGATGAGAGAGGCAAGGTAGGAGAGGGAGGGAAGATGGTAGGGGATAGAAAGGAGGTGACAGTGGGATGGAGGAGAATGGGGGCGAAAGGAGAGGTGGGATGAGGTAATTGTGAAGGAGGGAGGTAGGGGAAGACTGAGGACAAAGGACGTAGAGTGAGACAGAAAGATGGAGTAAGAGGAAGGATGGATGGAAGAGATGGTGAGGCAGACGGAGGAAATCAAAGAGAGGAAGCAGCAGTGGTAAACAAAAAAAAAGGGCAGAAAAAAATGATGATTGGAAAAAAAATCAACATGCAATTATAGATTACAGTTCAGTTTTAGCAGAAAAGTGTGAATTGGAAAACAGTGCAGCAGTGACATTTAGCAGAAGAATGACCACCAAGTGACCCACTGTTGAACCAAACCAGCTCAACACATACAGTACAGCACACACATTAAAACACACACACACACGACCGAGTTGTGAACCTGGCCACCGCTGAGTGCTCCACTGATGCATTGGCATGGCTGAACGACTTTTTGAGAGCACATGCTCACTCTGGGCTACTTGTACTTCAGACTGAGTGGAGAGTAAACACACATGCGACAGAAACAATCACACAACACAACACACACTCACAAAAATAAACACACGTGGAGAACAAATATGTGCCAAACGGTTATATTAGGATTACACTGTACTCATTTGTACTGCCTTTTTGTTCCTTCATGCGTGACTGCATATTTGACCACGGTAATTATTAATGTCATATGTCCGCGAGTGTTTCATCTGTTGTGTATTTTAACTAATTCACGTGTCCTAATCTGTCTCTGCTGCTATTTAAAGAGTCATCTGCAGCATCCTCATACACTATAAATAAAATTCTCGTTTCCCACCAAGTGATGAATCACGATAGTGATTCATCCTATAGCCAGTTCTTGGAAGCTCTTAAATTGGCACTTTTAAACCAATGTTTTTTTTCTGATGTGACAGTGTAATGTTGGGTTTTCTAATGCTTTCTCAGCAGCTTCAGTATTGTTAAAAATGCAGCATTAAGTTGTTAGGTATTTAAAGGTATGTTGTTGCTGTGATGTCAAGTTGCTTCAGCCAGTGTCTGAAAGATGAATTAAGCCTCAACAGATTGAGCATTAAAAACATTCATCAGGTATATCTGGGTGATAATTCATTACTAATGTGATGATATGATCTTATCTTTATACAAATGTCTGTTATCCAAATTAATAACTCTGTGCAAGCTGTGGTTAAAAACTAACAAAATTCAAGTCTGTACAGTAGTATCAATTAGTCAATTAATAGATTATTACATTGAAAGAACATTAATGGGAAAATACTTCGCTAATTGATTTATTGTTTAAGTCAGTTATCAAGCAAAAATGCCAAAATGTCACTGCTGACTGACTATTTGCTGTTTTTCGTGGTCATACTTTATATATATAATGTTATTGTAAAATGAATATCTTTGGATTGTTGGTCAGACAGATCGAACGATTTGTAGATGTCGTGTTGGGCTCTAGAAAAGGCATCGCGTCTCATTCTTGTGAAAGTAAAATCTCAGGAACGAGAGAGAATTTCTTCAAATTTGACACAAACATCCACTTGGACTCGTTGGTGAACTGATTAGAATCTGGTGGTCAAAAGTCATAGGTCAAGGTCCCTGTGACATCACAGAACACATTTTTGGCCATAACTCAAGAACTTAAGACCGTATTTCACAATTGATCTGACAATGAATTGGTGACTCATAGGTCAAAGGTCACTGTGACCTCGAAATGACCTTGACATAACTATGGCCATAACTCAAGAACTGGATGAGGCAATTATTAGAAAATTTCACACAGATGTTTAATGGGATACGACAATGAACTGATGACATCATAATGTCCTGGAAAAACACTTCTTTGGCCATTTTTCAATCCTATAACTAAACACACATGTTGACTGGAACGACACATTGAGTAAACAATAAGCAGCACTGTATTTCATCTTTCCATCTCATCAGGTACATTGTTTCCAGTCATGTGATTCTGATGACACTCGAAATTCAGAATGAGGCAGTAAGTGAAAGGCAGAATCACTTAATGCCTCATTCTGAACTTCAAGCATCAGAAAACAAAAGCAGCACATTATGTATAGCTATACTCTATAAGAATCCATCTTTACTTACTTTAGTAATCAACTACATGTGTTATGTTTATTCACTGGAATCATACATATGTACCATCAATATAGTGATAACTAGAGACCTACAGTAGTTTTTATTTTGACACATTAATGCGATGCCCAACAGTGGAAGGCAGGTCATTACTTTCAGTCAGTTTGATTATTACAATATATATTATGTGATTTTTGTATACATTCACCATATTATGACACACACTTATTTAGGAAAAAATATACAGATTAATATTGTGATGAAGATTGGTTTGATCTTAGCCTTTACATAAAGTTATTAAACACTTATAGATATAAGCGTTACAATAGATAATGATAATAATTTGTGATGAATATGAGTGATAACTAACTGCTTTTGTTTAAAGTGACAC